GTATCGGTGGCCATTCACTTGTCATTATGCAACTCTTCCACCGATATAAAATAGAATTCCATCTTGAAACAAATGTACTTTCTATTACTCACTTATTTCAGCATCCAACAATTGCGGGGCATGCTCTACTCATTCATAAAACTATGAACGTGAAAGAGAATATCAATGACTATTATTGGTCTTCATTACATATCATAAAAGGTAACATAGAATGTTCAGGAATACTCTATTAACTATATTCTGTTTCTCTGATTGTAGCTAAAGCATCATTTGCTCAAGAACGTATTTTCTTAGATGAGCAAATTCGATTTTCGTCAACAAATAATAATACTAACAACATGTATGTTATTCCATTAATTTATCGAATATCATCTATGAATGATCAAATATCTATTTCGCGATTACAACATGCAATTCAATCTATTATAAGAAAACATCAAATTCTTCGAACAGCACTCCATCTTGATACAAATGGTACTATTATTCAACACTATTTAGATGCAAATGCTATTATCAATGATAAGAAATCATCTAGATTTTCGATAATTAATCTTCCTGATGAAGAACATGAACAGAATGAAATTGTAAAGAAGATTTTAAATCAATCAGATTTGTTTGATTTATCAAAAGGACATGTTATTAATTGTCATATTCTTCGTCGCGCTCAATCAAATCATACATTCACTCAGAATAATAATGATCTATTGACTAAAGATGATCTGATATTATTTACCATTCATCATGCTTGCTTTGATGGAGCATCGACATCAATTTTTCTTCGTGATCTATCTCTTGCTTATCAATCTAATGACTTATTGTCTATAGATGACAATTCAGTACAATATATTGACTATTGTGTTCATGAACACATAATGAACATGACATCGTCTCAAGAATTTTGGCAATTAGAACTCAAAGGATATACTCTCACGCGCCAATTATCATTACCTGTTGATCGACAACGTTCGTCAACCAATCAACGATCAGGTTTAGCTTCTTCAGCTCAAATTATTTTTGATGATGAAATATGTGCATCATTTCGCAACTATGCATCATCACATCATCTCACACTCTTTCAACTTGGATTATCCATATTTTATGTTTTCCTATTCAAATTAACTCATGGTCAGACTGATTTATGTATTTCTTCTATCAATGCTAATCGATATCGAAGTGAACTAGTGAATATGATAGGAATGTTTGTTTCAACATTACCATATCGTGTTGAACTTGATCCACATTGGTCATTTGATGAAATAGTTAAATACGTACATGAAAAA